ACACGGTTCTGATGTTTGTATCTTCACCAGCTCCAAACCCACAACTTCACTCATTGGGGTAAACTAAGCTTTGCAGTCTCCATGTTCAGTCCTTTATTTGCACACTTGCTGCATCCCAATTCGCATACTGATACTTCGCCCTAAAAAGTATGTACTTTTTTGTGAAGGAAAACATATACTTGTGAGTGTGTAACCGAAGAGTATGCAAGCTTTGGGACCTACTACTTCCTCGTTAACAGGTCATTGTGTTGCTTAGTTATGAGTCCTGTCAATCATCCACACTTCATCCAAATTTCTTTCAAATTTCTTTTTAAATTGCAGCAGCAGGTCAATCTCCCACGAGTCATGAATGGAGAGAAATCTCTTCAAGTCTTTGGATAATTATGCATTCAGATGTAATGTCCAAACATGGTTTTATGTAAGTTCAGTATTGTTGTTGCAGAGGAAAAATAACACAGAAAACCTTATTAAAATATGTTCCAATTGACAAGATATTAATTCTCAGTCATACAAACATCTTTACCGAAGCCTCTCTTCTTGACGGTTGGTCACGCACATCTATTTGTAGTTTATTTACACTTTTCACCCGAGTTTGTAGTTTGTACTCGAATTCACGTCCAACGCGCAATGCAGTGATTAATTTGTGAATTGCAAGGTCTCGGAACAGATCGGGTTAACAGATCCGGCATTAGGCGTTGGATGGTGGAGGGGTTGTCGCGGACGAAGGACGAAAGTGAAGAGCGGGGGTTGTCATCGGTTAGAGCAGGGGTTCCCAAACTTTTCAGCCTGCAACCCCCAAAATGACAATGCCAGTGACTAGCGACCCCCAATATCCTCTGAGGTGGTTATAAATACAGAAACCTTGCATGCAATGGCGCGCACACTCCAATAGACCCAATTCTATTCTTCGTTTAATTTTTTTATTGTATGTCAGTGCTGTAAATGGGCCAGAAAGTTTAACCTGGTGCCATAAAATCAATCTGCTGCATCTGACGCTATTACTGTGTCTTTAATATTATGTAATTACCCCAGGGTTCGCAATCCAATAGAACTAGTAACTATAATCTACTATAGTAACTATATAGTATGTAACAATTTTGTTTCTCTTCAGTAGGTTATGGATAAAACATGGTAATTCTAATGGTTTATTAAAAATAAATAGATTTTTGGAATTCACCAGGCGACCCCTCTTCATTATACAGCGACCCTTGGGGGGTCCCGACACCCACTTTGAGAACCACTGGGTTAGAGTATGGAGGCTTCTACCCTTAATTTTTACTGGAAATAGTTAACCATGTAGGAACCTTCGGCATACTCTTTTCAACATACTACAATTTGGGACAGACAGTTCTTTTTTCAAATTCTATTTAGGATGGATAGTATGCGAATTGTATCTGTTGAGCTGAGGGAATGGAACCAACCCCGTGAAGTCAGACACAGCAATATTTCAAGATGCCGGCACCCTAGCTCTAAAAGCTATAGTAAAACATGACATTTTCTAGAGTTCGTTTAATATATTTTCATTAAAGTGGAAATCAATTTACAAAATAATGTAAACTTGATTAGAGGTGACGCGGTGGCGAAGTAGGTAGTGCTGTCGCCTCACAGCAAGAAGGTCGCTGGTTCGACCCTCAGCTGGGTCAGTTGTCATTTCTGTGTGGAGTTTGCATGTTCTCCCCGTGTTTGCATGGGTTTCCTCCGGGTCCTCCGGTTTCCCCCACAAATCCAAAGACATGCGGTACAGGTAAATTGGGTAAGCTAAATTTGTCCGTAGTGTGTCAGTGTGAATGAGAGTGTATGGATGTTTTCCAGAGATGGGTTGAAGGGCATCCACTGTGTAAAACATGTGCTGGATAAGTTGTCGGTTCATTCCGCTGTGGCGACCCCAAATTAATATAGACACTAAGCCGAAAAGAAAGTTATTGAGTGTGTATTCATAATGAATGTAAATTTGATTGACTGCTTCACTACCACTTTAAATTTGGCATACATTTTCAACATTGCACAGGCACAAACTGCAGGAAGAGAAGCAGCAGATCATTGATAAGATTGTGGTTAAACTCAAATTTTCATGTCTGATCACTCTGGGTTTAAACACAAATTGCCCAAAGATACCACATTTAAAACAAATCAGTTCAACCAGCTACATATTCTGTAATGTAAAGTGTCTTTAAAGTATTTTAACATGGTCAGGTTCCATTCTCCTTATATTTTCCATATTTCGTCCTTTGCATTTATAAGATATAGACTGACACATTACATGTCAGTCAGGTTGGAAAACACCAATTATTCAACTACTCCTGAAACCTAAAGTTTGCCTCGTGGTTCCTCTATGCTCCTCAATAAAACACCTATTTCCAGTAAAAACAACATCAGCAACAAAACATCACACACATTGGTGGTTTACTAGAACTTTCCATAGACGTACGGTAAAAAGCACTTATTATATGGCCCTAGCCCTAAACCCAACCTTCACATGAAGACAGTGACATAAGATGACATTTGAATGTCACAAGATGCCATTAGGTATGTTTTTAAGCGTTTTGAATTACGATTACATAAGGTGTGTTCTCATAAACCTCCTCAATGTTGTATTAGGTCCTACCCATGTCAATATATAAATTTCTGTTCTTGTAAACTAACCAAACCAGTGCACACAGACACACATGGCATTTCCCAATACCTAACTAAACATAACCCTCTGCATTTTCATAGAATTACAATTTGAGAACTTTTTTTCTTTATAAAATTTGATTAATTTTTGATAAATTGAAGATGTTTTCCTTGTGGGTCCCAATAAAGATAACGTAGAACAAGATTACGAGATGCTCTGAATTCATCCTTCCTGTTCTAAGGATACCTGTTTAGACTACATTCTTACCCACATACACTTACACATAGACAATCACTACCTACCCCCGCATCTCATGCCTTTGCGTGCTTTCACCCCCGGTGTGGGTTGGCAGGTCTGCGACCAGTGGTTTTCTAGCTGCAGGACCAGATGGCTGTTAGATATAGGACCATCTCCACATCCCCTGTTGCGATGTTATGTTTATGTGTTTATATGCTTGTTGCTGGGGCTTTTTTCCCCCTTGATGTCAAACTGCCCTGCAAGGACAGTTTGGGAGGGGATTTTTTTCGCCTCTCTTTCCCTTAATATCTTATTTACTCTTCTATGCTACCTCTCATCTGACCTGTTGTCCGCTGAAATGTGTGATGTTTGTGTATGGTTGCTGCATGTAACATTGTATGTGTTAAAATATAAAGGCACACTAATAAAGGCACACAAACTCATACACAATGAGATAGCAGTTGTCTAAAACACCTTGTACATAAAATGTTTTATTAATCTTTTATTAGTGTTCAAGATAAGTCAAACCATTCTATAAATGTCACAGGAACTTCATAGATTACAAATAATGTTAATAGACAAGAAGTAAAATTATGCAGATGATAAATAATATTGAAAAGAGAAATCGTTTTTGTTTTGAACTATTTTTAAGGACATTTTAGGATGGTCGTCTATATGTAAAATACTTATATCACTGTGCGTCATTTTATATGACTCGTCTGCGAAATCTGCTATCATGTCAAACAGCATGCACTTGCTAAAAATAAAGATATACAACAGAGTAGGTATTGAAGATCTTTGGAAAATTACTGCAGTGTTTTATTGTTCTGTTCTGTACAGTTGAAGTCAGAATTATTGTTTTATTCGCCCTCCAATTTCTGTCTACAGAAAGATTTTTTCAACACATTTCTAAACATAATAGTTTTAATAACTCGTTTCTTTTATCTTTGCCATGATCACAGTAAATAATATTTGACTAGATATTTTTCAAGATACTTGTATTCAACTTAAAGTATAATTAAAGGCTTAATTAGGTTAATTTGGCAAGTTAGGGTAATTTAGCAAGTCATTATATAACGATGGTTTGTTCTGTAAATCAGAAGTCTACAAAATTTTCAGCCCGCGACCTCCAAAACAACAGTACCAATGACTCGTGACCCCCACAATCCTTGTAGGTGGTTATAAAGATACAAATGTTGCACACAAGAATATTGACAACACAAAAAAAGTTCAACTGTCTAACAACAACCATCGGCTATAATTTATTTATTTATTTAATAAATTATAGGCATTAATAAGTTATTTAATTATCAGTTTATTTAATATTAACCTCACCATAATGAGACTGGTGGGGACAATGTTTTCAGCACAAGCCTATTCTAGGTTTAATTTTGGAGACTGCTAATCAGAGTCATCCTCAATGTTCAGTTGTGGCCTGTATTTATTTTATTTTATTTGATTGTCATAAAGGAATCAAAAGGTTTTACCTGGTGCTATAAAATCAATCTGCTGCATCTGACACTGTTGTTGTCTTGTTAATCTAACGTAAACACACAATTCTATGAAAAAAAAGAGAAAAGGCTGATGGCTTTTTGTATGCATGTTGTTGCTTTTTTATGTAACTATTCACTACTATTTTTATCTTCTGTGGGTTATGGATAAAATACGGTAAATCTAAGTGTTTAATAAAATTGATTTGACTTTTGGAAAGCACCAAGCGACCGCCTGTCATTGTTCCGCGACCCTCACTTTGGGAACCACTGCTGTAGACAGTCGAAAAAATTATTACTTAAGGAGCTAATAATATTGACCCTAAAATGTTTTTTAAAAAAATTTAAAATGGCTTTTATTGTAGCCAAAATAAAACAACTAAGACTTTCTCCAGAAGAAAAAATATTAAAGTAAATACTGTGAAAAATTCCTTGCTCTGTTAAACATCATTTGGGAAAAATTGAAAAAAGAAAAAAAAAATTCACAGGAGGGCGAATAATTTTGACTTCAACTGTATATTTCCAAAATCTGATAGAAACAAAAAACATCCTTCTAAATGCTCACTCTTGTGATTTAATAACAGCTCTTTTTTTATTCTATTAGTTAAGTATGATGTTGACAGCATTTAACTCAAACACTTGTTCTCTTATTAAAGTAATTTTTTTTTAGCAGTTGTGATAACCATTCAATTACTGTGTCTAACTATAAAGAGTCACTCACTTGGAGACCCCGAAATCATTGCTGTTGATCGAACGCGGTTTTGTCGGTACTGAAATCCAGTGAGATGTTCACTAGACAAACCAGTCCCATCTCTGGAAGTGGCCAGAGAGGAAGCCACTGAACAGTCTCTAAAGTGTGGGATGAGGTGAACTGGGTCGATAAGAGCACTAAGGTTAATTTAGCCACCATTGCTGACCATTCCAGCTGAAATGTCGCCTCTTACATCCAAGCCGAGTTTTTGCAGGTCCAGGCCCATACTTGCTAGCACCTGGAGCAAAGTCATCTCCTGTTGTGTGGCCTGATCAATCAGGGCCGGGCAGGTCGGATTGCATTGTGGCCATTGGCAGTTATCGATGAGATGAAAGGGACAGCCCTTGAGCGCAGTTTTGCTGTTTTTATTGGCCTCCTGAAAACTTCTGTCCCAGCACTGCAGAGCACGGGAGAGCGATGTGCCTTTGATTTGGAAATCCGTCCAGTTACTGTAAAAGAGATAAAAGAATGACATATCGGAAGCTTCAGTGCTCTGCTCTGATATATAAAGACATTTTATTAAACACCTCTAAACGCTTCTGACCTCTAAATGTCCGCGCTTGCATTTGTAAACACTTGACTACATTACAAACTCTGTAGATGGATAAGTATTGTGAACTGCGATAAAAACATATGGAGGAACACTTTCGCATGTCATGATGTACATAATATGTGTGTGTGCTCACCGTTTACTTCACGTGCACACACGTCAAGCAACTGAAGCAGAGCTTGAAGGTAAATAAACAGCGGTTTGTCATTAGCATTTTATCGATTATTTTTGACACAGTTGGCATTAAGAAGGAACATAAAAGCGTTATCTGACTAACATCTAGCAGCTAAATGTGTCTGGAGAAATATTTAAAGGTTTTTATTTTCATAAACAGTGCGGATGTGGATGTGTCTGAATGTTCTGATTGGCTGGAGTAGACGTCTTGCGTTAATGCGCTCTAATCATGAACACGCTCTTCCGGCAATTTTCCTTCTGTGTTCACACAGAGCAGCATTCCGGCAAATTTTCGATGATGTTACAAATAGTCTTTCTGGAAAGTTGCCGGAACAAATTTACCAGCATTTTCAAAAAGGGCCTGTTCACACATACAGACCTTTCTGAAGAATTGCCGGTAGTTTTGTATGTGTGAAAGGGGCTATTGTATAACGATGGTTTGTTCTGTAGATTATCGAAAAAATACATAGCTTAACGGGGGCTAATCATTTTGACCTTAAAATGGTTTTAAAAAAAACTATAAACTGCTTTTATTCCAGCCGAAATAAAGCAAATAAGACTTAGAATAAGACTTAATAAGAAAAAATATTATCAGACATACTGTGAGAATTTTCTTTCTCTGTTAAACATCATTTGGGAAATATTTAAAAAGAAAAACAATTAAAAGGGGGGCTAATAATTCTGACTTCAACTGTATATATTTTATTTATAACTTATTTTATAAACACAAAACAGAACAAAAACATTTGTATGATCTATAATATTTTTATACAATTAATAACAAAAAAAAAACATTTAACTAAGTAAAATAATTTTAAAAAGACATGAATAAAACAAACAAAAAACAAACAAACAAACAAAAAAATCAAATCGCAATTGCACTTTGAAACATTGCAACTAGTTAATCGCAAACATAGCCACTGAACTTAAATGGATTGTTAAGAATATATATTTAATTACCCATCCTTCAATTCTTTAAAACCTATTAGAGTTTCTTCCTTTTGTTGAACACAAAAGAAGTTATTTTAATGAATGCTGGTTGATGGTGCTCCTTGCCCTTCATAGTATTTTTTCCTCCAACAATTTTCTAAATATCTTCTTCTCTTCAATCTGTCAGCTAAAGTGCAAATTTTAATATTTTTTTGCAATTTTGCTGAAAAAAAAATGTGTTGAAGCTGATTAGGTCTGATTTGTAACCTCATATGCAATCCAATCTATGATAAAACCTTTACCCAATTATTTATTCAGTTTAATTCAGAAATGTCACATCGAGGAAGTAAAAATGTTTTCTGAACAGGAAGTAACACTGACTTAAAAACCAAAAAAACAAAAAACAAATGTGGTTAAGTGTAGAAAAGAGTGCAAAAAATGTAAGCTTCCCAATGTGGTCTATTGTGCTAGTTAAAGATCTCGTTTCATAACTGGGTTTATAACACAAATTAAAAATGACTGTTTTTATTACTATAAAAAGTATAGTTTGTTCTTTAAAATTACAAACTGTGTAATTTACCTATACTCTTACATTAGATTTATAATATTTGTTCATTTTATTAAATATTTTGACCATAATAGTCAAAATATCAACAATAATATATTATTAACTGAAACTGGAATATATTACTAAACAACAGTTTAGCTATACATGTAAATTTGGGCAAGGGTGTAGATTCGCTTTTGACATTGGTGGGCATTTTGAGGGGCAGTGGCCCAAACCAAAAAAAGGGGCAATATAAGCGGGCGAATTCTTGCTAATACACATTTTCCAGTTGTTATAAAAAAACACTTAGAAGAGAAAACAGTACACTCTGTAATCATTTCAGAACTATTTACTATTTTACATTTTTATATTTACCTGTACCTTTAACAAAACCGTTTTTGACCTGAAAGATCTTAATAAGCTAATCTTTTGCGATTCACAATTACACATTGCTGATAATAACAGGAACTATATTTTGCTGTTGGATGGACAATCTGAACATTTTCTGTCTCCATCGCCTTTACTTTGCTGAGTTGACTCTGAGGCAGTTTCATCTTAGTATGAATAACAAACCATTTACAATATTTTAATTATTTTTAAAATGTCTATCTATCTTTGTGTTACCTTCTTTGTGTTACAACTCTGTGTTACAGTCTCAGCTATACCTGTCTGATTAAGCTCATGCTCAGTGGTCTCTCCCTCACTCTCTGAGCCTGCTTCTTCAATGGAAAAATAAGTATTACACATATAATTTAGTATTACACACCATAAATTTATATTAACTTTTACAATAATATTATTACAATTTTTAAACTATTTATAGGCCTACTATTGATATGCTTTTAATAAAGTGATGTGTCGTAGCTTAGATTACTAGTATCACCTATAGGCCGAAGTGATTATAATGGAAAATATAAGTCTAAGTAAAAATAAAAGTTTGACAAACACAGCTGAATGTTTTATATAATGATTTACCTGCTGGCTTGCTGGAGCTTTGAATCCATGTTTTCAGTGTTGAACTACCTTTAGCAGCATCACTTCGTTCTTTCTCTCCCTGTCTTCTTTTTTGTAAAGACATTGTTTTTTGGGGATTTTTTTTTTTTGTCTACAACATGTTCCAACAACCTGAGGCTGAGGGGCACCTCACCCAATGAGGGCAGAGGGGCAGTGGCTCTATCCACTAGACCACCCCCATGTGCATGGCCCTGAGCCCTATAGCGCATGCATAGAACAGCACAAATTCTCTTTCATGCTTTTAAAAACATGAATAAAGGCTTTAAACAATCATTAATACAAATAACAATTAATGAAGCATCATGTGGCAATTTAGATGATTTTTCTGCAATCTGGCTTCAGGAGGTATGAATGTAGAGAAATTTGGAGAGGCATGTGACCCAATTTATTATTATTTTTCATAATCATGAAAGCCAAAGATTTAGATTTAATTATGGCAAACTTGACTTTGAAAACTTGATTATTTGAAAACTAGCTTATAACTTATATCCACATCTTGTACAGTGAAGGACGATTGGAAAATGTTCTTGTTTTGGCACTTCGTCACCTTGAAAATATAAGGTTCTATCCACGTTCTTAATGATTTTAAGATATTGAGCTTCAAAGTTTTTGCTTCCATGGCAAACAGTATGTGTGTGACATTTGCTTTTTAAATAAAAGAATGAAAATATACAATTGAAATAAAGTTATATTTTTATCATAGTAGTTTTCAATAGTTTATCATTTCATTTCCCGAGTCTAGCATTAATTGTTGTTAAAGTTACAATTGGTACAATTTAGTATGCCTGAATGTTTTTAAGGTCATTATACAGTCACAGCCATCTAAAACACATGCAAATGATGAATTATAATAAAGAATTAAAATTCCTTATACTTGCATATGTGACAATTACAAATGATTCAGCTTGATCTCACGAGAAAACGTAAGTATTTTACGTTTTGCCAGTTTAATGGCTAATTTGTTCAAATTCGCACGAGTTCAGTCGTACGAAATTGTACGATTTTAAAAAGGGGGCGTGGCACCTAACCCCACCCCTAAACCCAACTGTCATTGGGGGATGAACAGATTGTACTAAATTGTACGAATTAGATCATACAAATTCATACGAATTAGCCACTAAATCAAAAAGTTACGAATTGCTGTGAGATTGTGTTGGAATGATCACATTGCAATATCAATGCTGAAATGATAAATATCTAAAACGATATATTGTGCAGCTCTATTTTAGACAGCATAACTGAATGTACTACAGAATGTTACGTTTTCAATTTACTACAGAATGTTACGTTTTCAATTCACTTCAGAATGTTGTTTTCAATTCACACACAAGCACATATTGCGTGTAAACGGATGCGCTTTTTACTACGTAATATTTACTACTCTTGAATACTTTTAAAAGGGTTACTTTTTACTCAAACTTTATCTTACAATAGATTATCTTTACAATAGATACTTTTACTCTACATGTACTACATTTTTGGGCAGGTAATTGCACTTGTACTCTTTCCACCACTGGATATATATTGTGATATGAATATAATTTCGCCAGATGATTTAAATAGCTCTATTTGGAAAGGTTTAATTAATTAAATCAACTAGGGTCATCAAGTCTTTTTCTATGCAGTCCATCTGCATAAAATATAATCAATAAAGCTTAAAAAATGACAGAGCAAATATAAATGTTAAATATACTGTGCTTTATGATTTTTTTGGGGAGTCTAACAGTATTGAAATACAGAAAATGAACAATCAAACATAAAATAACATGGTTATTATTGTATACATAATATAAAATAATATTTAATCATATCTTTATCCTTTAATCTTTTAATAAACAATCAAAAATCCTGCGATGTGACTATTGCGGTTACACATATTGCGATATTGATGCTCAAACTATATATTGTTCAGCCCTAATTTTAAGTTAATTAGATCCTATTATTCATTTGTAAAGTAATTCATTATTATTGTACTTTTGACAACATTTGTATAATTATAATTGGATATTACAGATGTACAGCTCTATGAGGTACTGTCTCTGCAACTGCTTTAGTGTTAACTTAATGACAGTTTAATGCCCCTTCAGCAGAAGCCTAATCCGTCTCTTGATAAGCAGCTGCCTCTGCTATAAGTTTGACCTCATCATGTGCTCTGCCACAGTTTCATGGTTCACTTCACAAATCAACCGTCCCGCTGCTCGCTCATACAGTGGGTCATTAATTAAGTGTGAAACCATGAGGTGGCATTTTGGTGACACCTAGAATGCACTGTGATGGATGAGTGTTCAATTCGGGCGTATGAGCTCACCCTGGAGGACTGTGTTTTAAAGTGGTTGCGAGCCCTTACCTTTTGGTTATCAGAGTGTGGGAAAGACAGGAGGGGGCGAACACGGCCCTAAAACAACATAGAGCACAGTACTGTTAGTATACATATGATATAGAGCAAAATATTGTTCAGTTTTACCATGTTGACTGTAATAAAACATTAAATTTATTCCTATTAAAAACAAATACTTTCAACCGTCACTGTACATAGGTTGAATATATAACTAATTCATTTTAAATAATTGTGATTACAATTATGACCAAATTAATCCTAATTATGGGAAAAATCATAATCAGGATTATTTTGGTCATAATTGTAATCACAATTATTTAAAATGAAATAGTTATATCCAAAGTTTTTCCACCCTGTAATGGTGGAAATCTGGTTTAAAGGTTTCACTTTCAAAAATCATTCAGTTGCACAATTCTTAATACTGAAGCAAAATTGGACAAAGTAAAAAACAAACTAACAAAAAAGTTAATATTACAATTATGTAAAGGGAAAAAATACAATAGGATAAAAACATACAGTGCATGCCGAAAGTATTCACAACACTTTACTTTTATGTTACAGCCTTATTTCAAAATGGATTAAATTCCTTTATTTCCTCAAAATTCTACACACAATACCCCATAATGACAAAGTGAAAAAAGATTTTTTTGACATTTTTGCCAATTTATTAAAAATAAAAAGCCTGAAATATCACATGTACAGAAGTATTCACAGCCTTTGCTCAATACTTTGTTGATGCACCTTTTGCCTCAAGCCTTTTTGAATATGATGACACAAGATTGGCACACCAGTGTTTGGGAATTTTCCATTGATGTTTTGGCGGTGTGCTTTGGGTCATTGTCCTGCTGGAAGATCAACCGTCACCCGGTTTGAGGTCGAGAGCACTCTGAAGCAGGTTTTCATTCAGGATGTCTCTGTACATTGCTGCATTCATCTTTCCCCTTTATCCTGACTAGTTTTCCAGTTCCTGCTGCTGAAAAACATCCCCACAGCATGATGCTGCCACCACCATGCTCCACTGTAGGGATGGTATTAGCCTGCTACCGCTTGGCATTCACTCCAAAGAGTTCAATTTTAGTCTCATCAGACCAGAGAATTTTGTTTCTTGTGGTCTGAGAGTCCTTCTAATGCCTTTTGGCAAATTCCAGGCGTGGAGTGGCTTTTGTCTGGCCACTCTAACTTACAGGCCTGATTGGTGGATTGCTGCACAGATGGTTGTCCTTCTGTAAGGTTCTCCTCTCTCCACAGAAGAACACTGAAGCTCAGAAAGAGTGACCATCGGGTTATTGATCACCTCCCTGACTAAGGCCCTTCTCCCCGATCATTCAGCTTAGATTGTCAGCCAGCTCTAGAAAGAGTCCTGGTGGGTCCAAACATCTTCCAATTACAGATAATGGAGGCCACTGTGCTCATTGAAACTTTCAGAGCAGCAAAAAAATATACTTTGTAACCTTTCCCAGCCGTGTGCCTCAAGACAATCCTGTCTCGGAGGTCTACAGACAATTCCTTTGTCTTCATGCTTGGCTTGTGCTTTGACATGCACTGTCAGCCCTGAGACATTATATAGACAGGTGTATGCCTTTTCAAATCATGTCCAATCAACTAAATTTACCACAGGTGAACTTCAAGTAAGCTGCTGAAACATCTCAAGAATGATCAGTGGAAACAGAATATACCTGAGCTCAATTTAGAGCTTCATGGCAAAGGCTGCGAATACTTATGTACATGTGATTTTTCAGTTTTTTTTGTTTTTTTTTTTATAAATTTGCATCAATTTCAAGAAATCTTTCTTCACATTGTCATTATGGGGTATTGTGTGTAGAATGTTGAGGAAATAAATGAATTGAATAAGGCAGTAACATAAAAAAAAAACATGGAAAAAGTGAAGCGCTATGAATAGAAAGTATGCACTGTATTATTCAGCCAAATAGTATAATACTATACTATAGTACAATAATACTGGCAATAAATAGATATGGGCGTTTGTGTATTGATAAAGTATTGCCATGAAAGATAATGCAATACTATGTTCTATCGTTATTTTTTCCCAGCCTTATAACATTACTGGTGAAAGACTTGTTTTGAATTTTAGAGGTTATTAAAGATCTGCTGAAAGTAATTTGGTAATTCTAATAAGTTTCCTTTTAATACTGGATGGATGATCTGTGAGGAAAGTAATGGCACCTCATCATTGGTTATTTACAGTTTACTCTCGTAATTCATGTAAAGGATCATGGGATAATTCTTAATAAAACAAAACAGCTGAATTGGTGGTTGTTCGGTAATATATATGCAAAAAAAGCAGTGTGGTTTGGAAACATCTGTGTGATCAGGGCCATATTTATCCAGCATAAGTACCATACTAATATAAACACGCTAAAAAAATATCTGTTAATAAACAGTTTCTGTACTTTCTTTGCATTTTCTGTTTATTTATATTTCTTAATTGCATTTTGGGATGATGATCTCTGCTCTGTTGACTTTTTATGTGGAAAATTCAACTCTACAGTTTAACAAAGTGACTTTTGTTGACATTTTGGTGGATTGAAATAATATAATGTATAAGAAGTAATATATAGAGAGATACGTCTGTAAAATAACAGAAAATGTACTGGTAGATTATTACAAAGTTTTTGTAGCGTAATATAGAACACAAACTTGGACAAAAACCTCTTTAAACTGTTAAAAATGTTCATAAAAGTCACTTTTTCATTTTTTTTAAGGTTAAAAGTTGTTGGAAGAAAGATCGAGGTCCCATTATGCAACTCAAAAGCATAAATATATGGAAAAAAAATAAAGACATGAATCACAAAATATGTAAAACTGCTAGTTTACGGATATGTTTACAGTGTAGTTCCAGTCATGTACTCACGTCACGTCTTTGAGAGAGTTTTTTAACTCTTTCCCCAGGTTCTGCATGTAGGTCCACTGCTGCTCTGACAGAGACTGGCTGCCCATATAAATGTTCTCCACTCGTAACTGTTCCTCGTCAAACAGCCACTGCACCACAAACAGCGGAGCTATAAAGAGACACATCATCTGTTATTTGAAGGAATCATTTATTATTAGCACTATCCACTTCTTTAAACAATGCATCTAGATCACACAGATGGCATACTCTCACCACTTATATAGGAGTACAGCTTGTGTCCAAAAAAGCAGTGCCAATCTTCGCCTCTTTTATACTGCTGCTTACACTTTTCCGGAACAACACCATTCCACAATCTACCAAAGATATCATCAGATAGTAAATTAAACAGTGCTCATCGTGGAGTTAAATTCCTAAGAGTTAAAAGCAACAATAAAAGCAGTAGTAATAGTTTTTTGGTCAGCCCTTTAAAATGGAATTGCATTAAGTAGTATTATCTGTATTAAATGTTTACTTGTAGTGAACTTCAGATAGTATAATATTAATGTACAGCGCTTTAGTTCACCTAAACCTACTTTTATTACATGCTTGTGGACTTGTTTTTGTTTTATTCATTAAGTGCTGCGTCCTGTGAAAACCATTCTGTGTCGCCTCACAGCAAGAAGGTTGCTGGTTTGAGTCCTGACTGGGCCAGTTGCTGTTTTTGTGTGAAGTTTGCATGTTCGTATTGGTTTTCTACGGGTGCTCAGTTTTCCCCCAGAGTCCAAAGACAAGCTGTAGGTGAATTGGGTAAGCTAAAATTGTCCGTAGTTTATGTGCGTGCTAGGTTTATTGAGTAAATAAAATTGGCCGTAGTGTATGACTGCGTGTGTGAGAGCGTATGGGTGTTTCCCAGTACTGGGTTGTGGCTGGAAGGGCATCCGCTGTGTAAAACCAGCCTGATCTCATGAGGAAACGTAAGTATTTTACGTCTTGTCAGTTTAGTGGCTAATTAGTACGAGTTCAGTCGTACGAAAATGTACGATTTTAAAAAGGAGCCCTGGCACCCAACCCGCCCCTAACCCCAACCATCATTGGGTGATGAGCAAACCGTACTAAATTGTACGAATTAGATTGTACGAATTCATACGAATTAGCTACTAAATCAAAAAGTTACGAATTGCCATGAGATTGCGTTGGTAAAACATATGTTGGAATAGTTGCCGCTGTTCTTTCTGCAGTTCATTCAAGCCAAAGGAAAATTAATGTCCTTAAAACTGCGGTGTTATTTAGCTGTAGTTCAAAAAGTAAAGTTGTTGGGGTCATACAGCCCATAGCATTTGTTTCACCCAAAGACTCAGGCAAACGGATGCTGAAGGATGTTTGCTTTGTAGTTATTTCGCACAAAATATAGCCCTAGACACGCATTTCTAATAAGCCTGTGTTGTTGAAAACAGTGCAGAAATTAAATTAATCATTTAGCAGCTTCATTGATTATAACATAACTAGCGCAAATGTTTTACATAACTACTGCTGAATTAATATCATAAACTAAGCCATTTTTTCAATCAATACAATCAATCAGTTCTCCAATCCACATCAACAACTGTCAAATATTGCAGTATAAAAAGCAATAGTTGCCAATTTTTCTAATGCTGTAGCAAGTTCCCTTACTATTCCCTTTGTATATTTTACATACAATTCTAAACAGTTTTTGAGGTGGAGTAGAGAATGTATTGCACTTTCACACCAAGCATTTGTTTTTAATAGTGGTTTATCTGGCAAAGAAATGTATACTTTTATTATGGCCATCTCCTCAGGTGCCCTCCTTTAAAATGTGCTTGTCTTAAGTATGTACGCTATTTCCACTCAAAAACCTCCAGCCTGATCTCACGAGAAAGCATAAGTGTTTTACATTTTGTCAGTTTAGTGGCTAATTCGTGCGAGTTTAGCCGTACAAAAAGGTATTTTAAAAAGGAGGCGTGGCACCCAACCCCACCCCTAACCCCAACCGGCACTGGGCGATGAGCAAATCGTACTAAATTGTACGAATTAGATCGTACGAATTCATACGAATTAGCTACTAAATCAAAAGTTACGAATTTAAGATTGCGTTGTAAACTCACCTAAAGTCTGATGATTTTTGGCAGCTAAGGACACCTGTTTGGCAATACATTAATAACTTCTCCTGATTTTCTGTTCTATTGTGCATATTTAGCTCCTAGCCTGACTGTATTATCTTGTTTACTTGTTTGTATATTTCCCATTATTTCCTCCTGTATAGCTGAGACTGTATTTGTACATGCTAATGTATTAAAATAACTGACGATTAATAAAAATGTTTTTGGATAGAGAATTTAATGTTTTGAACTGACAATTTAAAAGCCCATTTAAATTATAATTCAGACTCAACATTGCAGATTCTGCGATGTGACTATTGCAGATGAGCACATTGCTATATTGATGCAGAAGCGACAAGGAGCTACAGAACACAAATGATTTGTTGAGTCACTGCTAAGTTTAACCGTAATAGAGTAAATGTTTGTCATTTGCATGTCTTTAAGGCCTGTGACTGAGAATTTCAAGGGAGTTTAAAATATTCAGGCATAAAAAAGTGTGATGTTTAAAGGTGTGACAACGTATTTAATTATTTATATGAAATTTATCTGACAATTTAAATGAAAAAAAAAAAAACGAAGTGGATTTTTAGAATTCAATTACAAGAGCAAACAATTTTTTAATGACATGCACAGATGAATTGTTCACCACAAAACTAGCAATGTGAGGTAACAAAATCATATGGTTAGTTTTTGCTTTCATTTGTACTTTACCTAAGCCCTTTTTTGATTGCGTCTGCAGGGGTGCAGGAGGCACTGTCGGGACAGTCTGGAACTTTTTGCTGTTTGCTCTCCAGAAACCAGCCTGAGTCGACTAGACCGCGCACCTGAGCCTCAGCGCCCTGCTGCTCCAGAAGACTGGAGACCTTATCAATGTTCAGCAGCACGCCTGTTCCTCCAGCACTGCGGGACAGAAGAACAACCTCAATCTGCTGCAGTCCATAAACATTACCCCAGGTTAGTCAAACTAGGGCTGCACAATATCCCGTTTAAGCATCGATATCGCAATATGCACATCCACTAGGGCTGCATGATATTGGAAAAATTGGATATTGCAATATTTTATTTTTCTGCGATGGAATACAGTTTCATGATGGGTCGAATAACATTATTTGACAGTTTTTATTTTTGACAGGAGTCTAGAAACAAGACAAAGTATGAAAAGCATGTTTTGCATTGCTTTTACTGTACCTGAATAATGTTAGATAACTGTCAAATAGAGCTGTTCATTTTGTGAAACTCACAATGTTTATCGCAGAAAAATAAAAACGCAAAATCCGATTTTTCCAATATCATGCAGCCCTTAGTCAAACTACTGAGCTACGTGTCTAAGTGTCAGATGGCTTCAACAAATGCTTTGGGATAACCAACAAAAACTTGTTGCTAACTTCGGAGTAATCCTCAGAACTTGCATTGCAGGATATATATAGATGTTATGTCATTGTCTATAGCATTTCAGGCTGCAGTAAAGATTTTAATGGCAGACAACAGGATGTGCTGAAAATAGTGCTTCCGTCAGTGTTGTGTACGGCTGTAGTGTTATGGTAAAACTCAAGGGGTGGTCCAATGACAGGAATTGGGTTTCATGGTACTCCAGATGGCTCCATCGCAATTGTACATAGCATCTTGTAATTAGATCTCAATATGCAGCAACAGGTGTATTGGGTGTCTAGTGTTGCCTTTGTTAACAAGTACATGGATTCAAATCAGATTAGTTCAAATCAGTCTTAGCAGTTAGTAATTACAAATCTGGAACGAAATTTAAAAGCCATCCATGTTGTAGCCTGTGGATTAAAGAAATGACTAGCAAGCTTGCTCTAGAGAAGCTGACATACACTCAAAAAGCCATGTTTGATGTTTGTTCAAACTACTTCTTTTATTAAATGAGCC